TCCCCAGTGCTATAGACTCAATCCAGGCTACCACCGGCCCTACCCATACTACCCCAAGCCCCACCCATACGACTATAAGCCTCACCCACACTACTGTAAGCCCTATATATAGCACTCTGAGCCCCATGCACACTACCCCAAGCCCCACTCATACCACTGTAAGTCCCACCTGCACTACTCCAAGCCCCTCCAGTGCTACTCCAAGCCCCAGCCACAGTACCACTAGTCCTACTCAAGAAGCCAAGATGTCAACTCAGAGCACCAGTGCTGTGGGCCCAGTCCAGACCACTACAAGTCTCATTTCTACAACTAAAAGCCCCTCCCCTTTGCTCGACGTTGCTGTCATCTCCAGCTCTGCTGCAGAATCCACTGTCCCAGGCACTGAAGCTCTGCCCTGTAGTCACCCAGCCTCCACTCCCTACACTAAAGCAGACCCCATAGCATCCTGCACGTCTTACCAGAGTCTTGCTTCCTCTGGTTCAAAACCCTTCTCAAGCCCTGCCTCAGTTCCCCCAGAACAAATCCTTAAGAGCCCAAGTTCCTCCCTCTCATCCATAGTCCCTGAACCCCAGCATTCAGAACGTAGCCTGGCCTCAGTTGCTCAAGCCCCAGTCCCTGAAGCAACTGGAGGAGCTGGGGACAGAAGGCTCGAAGAGGCTCTGGGGACACTAATGGCTGCCCTGGAAGACTATCGCGGTCAGTTCCCTGAGCTGCAGGGCCTAGAGCAGGAGGTGACTCGGCTGGAGAGTCTGCTCATGGTAAGGAAGCTAGTCTGCACTGGGCCGGTCTGAGGTACGGTTGCCGACCAGCGGCGGTAGCTCTGACCCTCCTCTTTACGATCCCAGCAGAGACAAGGCCTGACTCGAAGCCGGGCCTCCAGTCTTAGCATCACTGTGGAGCATGCCCTGGAGAGCTTCAGCTTCCTCAATGACGATGAAGATGAAGACAGTGATGGCCCTGGGGACAGGTGAGGTGGCAAGGCAGGTCTGGGAACTTGGTGGGGCAGGGAGAGAGGAAGGGGAGGAGGTAAAGCAAGGGAAGGCAGAGGAGAAGCAAGTGGGTTGGGAGAAAGGCAAGCTGGGAAGTGTTGGGGGGCAGGGTAGCTGTCTCTCCTTGTACCCCTCGTGTTTCTTTGACGCCCATGTCACCAACTCCGTCTATCCCAGCATCTCTGGCCACCCTACTCCTCTCGGCAATGTCTGCCTCCCGTGCATGTCCCCATCAGCTCGTGAGCCTGCCGCCTCTCTTCTTTCCCTTGACCTCACCTTGGGCCCACCCTGGGAAGGAGCTCTTTCAGTGCCTCCCTGTGTACCCTGTGTCCCCCAGCATCAGCCCCCTCCATCAAGACCCCGACTCTCCCGGAGGCCCCGGCCACTCAGCTCTCATTCCTGGAACAGATTTTACCGATTCAGATTTGAGAGTCACACCAGATCCCTCCTCCATTTACGACCTCCTAGGTTCCAGTCCCAAGCCCTGCGTCCCTTACAGCCCACGTTTCACAGACCATCCCGCCTGCAATCCTGCTGGCGCCCCTCTCGGGCCCAGCAGCCCCTTTGGTCCTAGCAGAGGTAGCCGAAAGTAGACTGACTGTCAAGACCCGTATTACTCATTCCTGGTGACAGCCTCGTTCTCCCTGAGTCCTCTGTGAACCTACCTGTTGTCTGTGTCTTCATGTTGTTCTTCCATTCTAGGTGGGGGGAACTTAACAAAAATAAACTCTTGATGACCAGAAGGTGATGTGTGCTCTTGGGGGTGGGGTGGGGGTTGATTCCATTTTTTTCTCTCAGGCCCACAAGCAGCCCAGAGGTTGTGGCAGAGGACAGACTAGACTCATCAAATGGCCAGTCTCTAAGTACAGGGTGTTCAGCTCTGGATGCTACCTTGACCCAGCACCTGTACCATTGCAGCCGCCTCCTGCTGGTGAGGGGATAATATCTCCCCTCCCCCGCTCCCCCCCCCCCGACTTACCCCAAGGAGCCCTAAACACCAATCCAACCCTCTAGACCTCTCAGTTCTATATTGCGATGCCCCAGGGTCCTGACATTTGGTGCCTATTGAATGTAATACCTCCTATACTCCTCCTACTTTAGCCTTTCCCAATGCATGCTGGGACCTGTACTCCCCTGACCCCCCATCCTCGTCAACCCTTGCCATGAAGCCTAAATTACTTGGCAACCCTTGTCCTCTAGAAACTGGGCACATTTGGGCCCCTGCGCTGCCAGGAGGCATGGGCCCTGGAACGGCTGCTGAGGGAAGCGCGTGTCCTCCAGGAAGTGTGTGAGCACAGCAAGCTCTGGGGGAACTCTGCCACATCTGCCCAGGATGGTAAAAGCCTTTTGTGTCTGGGCTTTGATGTCCATCTGGAGTTCATGCCTAACCTACTCCTATCTGAATGCCTGCTCCTCCTCCCTGGTTTGCTCTGTTGCTGATGGTTCCCTCCTCCTTCGCAGTGGTTCAATTCTCTGCCTCTCGGCCTGGCTTCCTGAGCTTCTGGGACCAGTGTACAGAGGGACTCAACCCCTTCATCTGCCCTGTGGAGCAGGTGCTCCACACTTTCTGCAGCCAGTACGGTGCCCGTCTTGCCATGCGCCAGCCAGGCTTAGCCGAGGCTGGTGAGTGGGCTGTCTATCTACCTGCTCCTTCCTTCTATCTCAGCTCCCTTAGGGAAGTCCTTGTCAGCCCAGACTGACTGACAAATTGAACTTGGAAGAGAATGCTTGTCCTCCGAGTGTGTACAAGGAGTCCCTGGGCATGAGCTAGAACGGGGTTGGGGGTGGGGCATTCTCTTCCCGGCTTAGAGGTCTGGGACTGTTCCAGCTCAGGGTGTGGTACTGTCTTCCTCAGTGTGTGTGAAGTTCCTGGAAGATGCCCTGGGTCAGAAGCTGCCCAGGAGGCCCCAATCAGGCCCAGGGGAGCAGTTCACCATCTTCCAATTCTGGAGTTATGTAGAAGCCTTGGACAGCCCCTCCATGGATGCCTATGTGACAGAAACTGCAGAGGAGGGTGAGGCAGTGGCCCTGGCCACAGAATGCTGGCCCTGTGGGTGGTCCTGAGGGTGTGAATGATGGGATGATGAGGACAAAGCACCCCTCCCCCACTGCTTCTTTTAGTGTTACTGGTACAGAACCTGAACTCTGATGACCAGGCCGTTGTGCTGAAAGCTCTAAGGTTAGCACCGGAGGGCCGCCTGCGAAAGGATGGGCTTCGGGCTCTTAGCTCCCTGCTGGTCCATGGCAACAGCAAAGTCATGGCTGCTGTCAGCACTCAGCTTCGGAGCCTGTCACTTGGCCCTGTCTTTCGGGAAAGGGTAAGTTTGGCAGGATTTTCCAGTAAGGTTAGGGTCGAGGGCTCCCAGTGTCTAAATCTGCCATCCCACCCTTCCCCAGGCTCTTTTGTGCTTCCTGGACCAGCTTGAGGATGAGGACGTACAGACTCGAGTGGCCGGATGCCTGGCTTTGGGCTGTATCAAGGTGATTCCCTGCCAACCTGCCTGACACTTTCACTCCGGGGCTAGCTATTTCTGCTTGTTACACTGAACCTGCCTCAATGTTTTGTTCACCGATAGGCTCCTGAGGGCATTGAGCCCCTGGTGTACTTGTGCCAAACAGACACAGAAGCTGTGCGGGAAGCCGCCCGGCAGAGCCTACAGCAGTGTGGTGAGGCTGGGGAGTGGGAGACACAAATTAGGGGGATTTGGGAACATCTTGGCTGTTGGGAGTAGGGTGAGGTAATGCTAGGGACGGGAAGGCCTGGAAGATGCCAGGGCCACTCTTGACCTTATCTCTGCACATTACAGGGGAAGAAGGACAGTCTGCTCATCGACAGCTAGAGGACTCCCTGGATGCTCTGCCCTGCATCTTTGGGCCCAGCAGCATGGCCAGCACAGCATTCTGAACTCCTATCACCGGCTCCCAGTGTTCCTTCCCTCGTTTTCAGGGCTCACCAGGCACTGGCAGGGAGGGTGAGGGCTGGCTCCAGTCACCTCTCCCCACAAATTCCTATCAATGAAAGTCTAATATATTCTTCTGTTACCACTGGGGTTGGTAGAATGCCTGAAACAAAGTGCCTCCCAGCCGTGGTTCTGCATATTCTTTGCCACAAACAGTGTCAGAGGCCTGGCCATTTGGTTATCTTCCTCTGCCTCAACACATCCCTTGGTTTTGTATTTTATTTACAGAGTTTTACAGAAAATAAAAAAGCAAAATGTGTTTCCTACATGGCTTGGTGCATCCGCGAGTCTCTTCTCCAACACCTTCTGATGTTCTTTTCCGGGCACTCATACCCCCAGCTGTGACAACTGCCTGAGCATTTGCCCTGGAAATCCTGGTGGAAGAAAGCCCAGAGTCCATGGCTGGGCTTGGAGAAGAGACACAGAAGGGAAGTAGCACTCCTGAACAGGCTGAGCCTGCAGCTAAGCCTGGGAACTATCCACCAAGTGGATCTAAACTTCGTAGCTGGCCCGGAGAAGGCCGTAACTGATTATCTAGAGCAGCTGTGTCTAGAGAGCAAAGGCCAGCAAAGAGTAAGCCGCAAGGAGTGCCTGAACTGTTGCCACCAGGGGGCAGCAGAACTGCATCAGTGGGTGATAGGTTTCTCTATTGTACCCTTCTGATCAGGCAGCTTCTTTTCTGCGTGGACCTCAAAAAGCAACTTTAGGTTGTGGGGAGAGGGGTGAAATCCTTGCTGGGGGGAGGAGCCTGAGCCTGGGAGCTGGGAGACCCGGATGGCTGCCCTGTGAACCAAGACGGCAAGGTCTTTCCCTCCCTGAGGCACCTCCTTCCCTGTAATAACAAACCTGTGAACTCTGTGTCCCCTCCAACAGCCAGCAGACCTGTGATGAGGAAGTAGGACTCTTGCAAGAGAGGGCTTCCCTGCCTCCAGCTCAGGAGTTTGTTAACCCAGGTTAGGAGACCTTCGGGAGGAACTTGAGGATGGGATGGCCAGGCTTTGCTAGGAAAGTCCAGAGAGAGTTCCACACCCATGGCTAGAAAAGCGGACCCTCCATTCTCCTACCACAATTTCTATTATCTAGGAGATTGGACATGCGTAAGGCCTCCCCAGCTTGAGCCCATTCTGGTGTCCCAATACTTAGGGTGCACAGCATGACACTGTGCACAAAGCTGTCATGGGGAGATGGGAGCTCTCAGGAAGAGCCAATTAGATGTCAACAGTTGCCTAGACTGGGGTGGGGGTAGGGTGACCCAGATCCCTGGGGAGCCTTACCCCAGTGCTTTAGAACTGCTGTGAAGAGGTTTTGCCTGCGCCCTCACCACCTGCTGGGGAGGCCCTGCTGAGCAAAAGAAACGGCAACAGGAAACACCTGTGAGTGATGCTGGCAGTTCACTGTAGTCTGGTGGGGGTAGGGCCGGCAGACAGGGCTTACTACTGTCATAGCAGGGCAGGATAGGATGGTCAGCTGGAGTAAAATGGGGTAGATAAAACAATTAGGTGGCAGGCCACACCAACGCCTATAGCTGGTGGGTTCAGAGGCAGTCCCAGAACCACCAGGCGGGCAGCCAGGCAGGCAGGCAGGCTTGAAACCACAGAAGAGGCCCATGGTGGGGCAGGAATGTCCAGAGTGGTGGGAAAGTGGAGTCACACCCTGGCTGAGCAGGTCTTAGGAAAGTGAAGGCAGTGATTGGTCCAGAACAACATCTTAGGACAGCACCTGGCAACACATACAGGATGGCAAAATGTCATTATTCCAGTCAGAGGTCAGTTCTGGCTGTCACTGAAAATCTTGCTCTTCAAAAAAAGAAAGATCAGGACCCCTCTGTGTTCTACAAGGAGGGTTCTAAGGTGAGAACCTGGGCTTCTGTCCCAGCTGAGAAACGTTGAGACCAGGGTGGATAGGAGCTAGAATCAGAGTGCTTTGAGCACAGCCAGGTGAGGCTCTATCAGGGTCAGGTAAAGAGCCTCAGGCCTTTGCCCTTCCAGACTTTTGGGCTTGACGCAGCATGGATCAACTACAGGACAACCAACCACTTGACCTCTCTTTTCAATTCATGACCTGAAGTCAGGCTGGCTGGTCTCTTAGCCTAAGAGCAGGTCTTGTTTGTCAGATTGTGGAAGACATACAAAGGGCTCAGCTAGCTGCCCCAGAACCCTTTAACTTCTTACCCTGCTGAGGAGACATTTGTTCTTCCTGCTCAGATTCAGGACTGTTGGGAGCCTGCTGCCCCAGGAAGTGGGAGATTCATGATATTATCAAGAGTCACAGGTATCAAGGCAAGCAAAGTCCATGCCTAGAGGGGGCAAATGGAACTGGGCTTCCAAGGCCTATAACTTCATCATTTAAGGCCACTTAGGTCATAGCCATGTCCTGGTCATCATCTTCAGAAGTCTGTATGGAAGAAATTGATGTCACACACACACACACACACACACACACACACACACACACACACAAAAGAGCTAGGCTGAGGCAGTTTGAGATGCAGTTTATTGTGTTGGTGGCTGCAGGGGTTTCCTTTCACCCCCTCCTTTCCTCTTGCCCTCTTCCAACCTTATCTTTTCTTCTTGTTTCAAACTCTTCTTTCTCATTATTTCAAAGCTGCAGTGACCAAAAAGAAAAAAAAAAAGCATGTTTATGAAGGCAGGGAAGCAGATGGGCTGGCACATGGGAAAAGGACTGCTTCTTTGTCTCCCCCACAGAGCGGGGGTGCCTTCCTTGTACGATCCTGAGTCTGGTATGTGGGCACAACTTGCAGAGTACCAGGCACATGAGATGTTCTCTACTTTCTCTCCATCCCCTCAGAAAGAAGTGTACTATTCAGACTGCCCATCCCCCTTGGATAGAAGGCTCTTGGGGGATTGGAGAGACAGTTCAGCAGTTAAGAGCACTTATTGTTCTTGCAGAGGACCAAGGTTCAGTTCCCAGTATCACAACTATCTATAGGAACATATAGACATGCAGCCAAAATACTCATACATATAAATCTAATTTTTTAAAAAAGGCTCTCGGCATGGACGCTGGGCTAAGCTTTTCTGGATGTTGCTAATATGAGAAGGTAAGATTGGAAAGACTCCAGCTCCTCTTCTAAAAGTTAAGGAAGCACAATATATCATTTAGAAAATTAGTCTGTCAGAGTCCTGCAGTGACGGTCATTAGTCTAAAGTTGATGCTAAAATTCCAGGACCTCTGAACTTATGATATATTCCAGGTATATGGACATACAGTAAACACTTAGAATAGCTGACTAAGCAGCTGCTTTGCTATAGCTAATAACAATCTATGTTCCTAGTTAATTTCTCTGACATCTTCGTCCTTCTCAGGCACCCCTTAAATATTACTCACAGAGTTCTACTCTCTTGAAACTCATGACTCCCTCCATATGCGGAGGCTAATGTCAGTAACTCCAACTACAGATGACTGGATACTTCCTTTTGAACATCCAAAGCATTTCAAATTCAACAGCCCAAAGTCTACTCTTCGCACTTCTTGAACCTATTCTCCATGATGCAGAAAGATTTCTAAAACCCTTATCGACCACTACAAGCCTTTCCTTTACAGAAAAAAAGCCCAGCCCACTCAACCTGGCTCACAAAGCCCTTTGGGTCTATTCCAGTCTGAATCCTCATTTCTACTGTGACTACCTGCTCTGCCCTGGAGCTTTCCTGAGCTATTTGCAGGGCTTGCCTACACCTGAGCCTGGTACCACTCCTTCTGGGGTCTCTTATTTTCACCCTTACATAGCCTTGCTCAAGCCAACTCCCTAAAAACCTTCAACTAAGACATACTTTGCTTTAGGAGTTGTACCTTTGCTGGGGTATATCAGCAAATGCTTATGATAAGAGGATTGCTCTGATTCAAAACCAGCCTGGGTAACACAGTAATTTTGAGGCCTGCTTGGCCTATACTTCCACTCTAATGTATTAATCATACTTCACTGCAATTGCTTATTTCCTTTGCAACCTCTGGTGTATGCATAATTACCTCTGGTGTATGCATAATTACCCTGATGAATCTACTTAGCAGCTGGCACCACTCAAGTCTGAGGATGACCAATAGGAGTCTTTTAGTCTTTTCATTTTGTCCTAGAACTTACTCTGTAGACCAGGCTAGCCTTGAATTCATAGAAATCCACCTACCCGTGCCTTCTGAGTGCTAGAGATGAAGGTGTCTTTTTTTTTTTTTTTTTACGTGCTACAGATTGAACCCAAGGTTTACTAGCCAAGTGCTCCACTAAGCTCTCACTTCCCACCCTCTTCTTAAACAATGCTTAATTGGCAACCCACATACTATGTGGTTCAACCACTTAAAGTGTACAATCTTCTAGACATGGTGATAAAGCTTATATTCACAGCACTTGAGAGGCTAAGGCAGGAAGATCAGGAGTTCAAAGACATCCTCAGCTACACAGTAAGTTTAAGGCCAACCTGGACTACTTGAGATTCTGTCCCAAAACATTTTTAAAGGCTTATTTATTTATTTATTTATTTATTTATGTGAATACATTGTCGCTCTCTTCAGACACACCAGAAAAGGTCATATGATCCCATTACATAGATGGTTGTGAGCCATCATGTGGGTTCTGGGAATTAAACTCAAGACCTCTGGAAGAGCAGTCAGTGCTCTTGACTGTTGAACCATCTCTCCAGCCCCACAAAATAATTTTTTTTAAGCTGGGCATGGTGCTTGCACCTTTAATTTTAGCACTTGGGAGGCAGAAGCAGACAGATCTCTGTGAGTTCAAGGACAGCCTGGTCTACATAAGTGAGTTCTTGGACAGTCAGAGCTACAAAGTGAAACCCTGTCTCAAACAAAACAAAAGAAGCCACCGAATTTTTAAAATTAAACAATGAAGCCTACAATTCAAATTATGCCTGATAGTGCAAGGGTCTAATGCCAGCTATTTGGGGGGCTGCAGCAGAAGCACTGCAAATTCAAAGACTGCTTGGGCTATAAAGTGAGCTCCAGGAGGCCATCTTGAATAACTTATCAAGAACAGGTCTCAAAGAAAAGAGTGGGCAGATTTGGAATGTAGCTTATTGGTAGCGTGTTTGCCTAGCACAGACAAAACCCTCGGTTCAATCCCCAGTACTGTAGAAAAGCATGTAACCTAATGGCTTTGGATATATCCAGTTTTGTACCAATGACCAAAATTTTACAGTATTTTTATCTACCCATAGAAGAACATTACTCCCTTTCAGCAGTTATCCCACCAGCCCCTGCATAGGCCTAGACATTCAGAAATCTGTTTTTCTGTCCCTACAGATCTGTTTATCCTGTATATTTTTACAAATGGAATCAGGTTATGTCTTACCAACGTACCTGGTTCTAAGAAATATCTGAGATTTCAGTGAGTCTGCCACAGAGCCTGGCAATGACTTGTTTTTGTTGGTTTGTTTTGGGCAAGGTTTCATTATATAGCCCAAGCTGGTCTTGAACCTGCCATCTTCCTGCTTTTACTTCCTGAATGCTGGGACTATAGGTATGTGCTATCATGCCTAGCTATATATCCCTTCTACCCCTTGTACCTAAAGCCAGATACACAGAAAGTGGTCCAGCAATGTCTTTTAGACTCTTGAGATTACTTAGCAGGTCAGAGCATGTCATGTACAAGCCTGGCAACACAAGTTGGATCCCTGTAATCCACCTGGTGGGAAAAAGAACCTGCTCCTTCAAGTTACCTTTTGACCTCCACACTGTCCAGCACTGGTACAGCATATATGTAAACAAAACAAATATAAGGTATATATATCACACACACGCACACATTTTTAAAATAAATAAATAAATAAATAAATAAATAAATAAATAAATAAATGTCTTACAAGGCCAGGATAGCTCACTCCTACCTGTAATCCTAGCACTTGGGAGACTGAGGCAGAAGGATTTCTTTTGAATTCCAGGCCAGACTTGGCTACACTGTGGATTTCAGTCTCTAAACACAATAACAGACATGTCTTTGGACATATATCCCTACAGTTTGTCTAGCTGTGGGCTCCCTATATCCAATTTCCCAACTTATGTTTATACTTATCTAGAATGCAACATCTAAACATTTTCAGGATGAAAATATCATATGTTTAGTGGAGAAAAGCCTGAAAATTTAGCACATCACCTGTCTCCCTTCAGCATTATGTGTCTAGAGCATGAAGCTGGGTTCTGACACATCCGTAGACTATCAAATCATAGCCTCAAATATCTCTGCTATCTGTCTGCCAAGGCTGCTTGAAATTTTCATCATTAAAGCCCTTTTTATATGGCTCAGAGGTTAAAAGTATGTTCTGCTCAAGTCTGATGAGTCTTGATGACAGCCCTTCCTTTGAGGTGAAGCAGTAGTGTCCGGCTGACTTTCAGGTCAGAGATCTTTTTGTCCCTCCTAAACAAATCACATGGAATTAGGAAAGTGAGGGTTCAGTGTTCAGTGAAAGAGCACATGCTTACCAGGAACAAGGTACTGGGCTTAGTTCTTGGCAGGGGTATCTCCTCCCTTCTCTTTACTAGGCAGCCTTGGGGTGAAAGCATCATCCCCAGAGGGCTACTACAGAAGCAGAAACGTTGAGCCAGGTGCTGCAGTTCACAGCTGTAATCCTAGCACTCAGCAGGCTGAGGTAGAAGAAGGATTCGAGCCTAGGATTTCAAAGTCAGGTGGGATAACATATGGACACAAAGAAAGAAAGGAGGGGATGTGGAAAGGGAAGGCAAAGGAGGAAGAAGAGAGGGAGGGATGGTATCTGAAATTGGGCCTGCTGGCAGAGGCCTATAATCTTAGCTACTCCAGAGCCTGAAAAGTTTAAGGCCACCCTGGGTTAGAGAGTGAATTTAAGGCCAGCAAAATCCTGCCTTCAAATAAAAAGCAAAAAAGAGCTGGAGATATAGCTCAATGGTAAAGCACCTGTCAATGTGCCCAAGGCCACAGGTTAAACCCCAATATACAAAGGGGAGGAAATAAGAAGAGAAAAAGATGATGAAAGAAATGTTATCTGAGGTCTAATGGAGGGAGGGAGGAACCCAGAGCAGCCAGTAAGAGAACAAGAACACTGAGAAAAGTGTGGTGAAGCACATGTGTTTCATTCTGGTTTTGAATAAGTAACTTCTTTCTTTTTTCTTTTCTGTTTCTTTTGAAACAAGGCCTCCAGCCTGTCCTGGAACTCACAGTATTGGCCAGATTGGTCTCAAACTCACAATCTTCCTGCCTGAGCCTCCTGAGTGCTGGCATTACAGTTATGCACCACTCCACCTAGTAAATTTACTCAGTTTAAGATAAAACTAGGTTAGGCATGGTGGGGTACACTCGTAATCCCAGAATGTCTGGAAAGGCAGTCACTAAGGTATTTTGTAAACGGATGTGATGCATTACAGAAAGCTAATCAATCAATGCTTGGAAAATGCAGAGCAAAATCCAGAATTAACCTACTTCCCAAGCATGGGTTTTGGGTACTTGAAAGGGTGACTGTTTCAACTGAGAGGTAAAGAACAGGGGTTCAAATAAAGAAGAAATTGATAAGGAAAGAAATTCTTGGGGTCTGGGCAGGAGACGATGTCTTTAAAATATTAGTAGTTGGTTTGGGCCGAGCTGTGGTGGCGCATGCCTTTAATCCCAG